CACCCCCCACCCCCCACCCCCATCCCACCTTGTTTTTGTATGGAGAAATATACTTCCATTTTCGTTTGACTTTTTTCTTTCAATTTGTTGATGGCTTTCCAGGAATTCTCAACCGCTTGGTGACTTTTCTTGTCTGGTGAATAGTACTACAATGTAACCGGTTAACACACATTCATCATCATCATCATCATCATCATCATCATCATCATCATCATTGTTTGGAAAGTAGAGTAGGAGGGAGAGTCTTGTTTGAATTTTAGACAAAATAACTTAACAATATAAAATGTTTAAAATTTGTTTAATAGCTCAACGTTTCGCCTCGTGGGCTTCCTCAGGAGCAACTCATCATCATCATGATCATCATCTCCATCATCATCATTGTAAACAGCAAGCAATAAAAAGGGTTAATGAGACTTGCAGAATTTCCGAGAAAATTTTAAAATAAAAGTTCAATGTTTTGCCCGATCACGGGCTTCATCAGGAACAGCATCATCATCATTGCCTTTCTCCCCCTGGACCAGGATATAGGCCACGAACAAACACTTTCCACCTTTCCCTATCCTGGGCTAGTCGCTTGATGTCACTCCATGTCTTCCCACTTTTCCGTACATCCATCAGGAACAAACAAAATAAATAACGTTACAATAGTCAGATGTACCAAAGACTACGCTAGCTATAGGTACCAAAGTGTGCGCATCAACGTCACTGAGCCAAAAGGTGCGATAAACACAGATCAGCAAGACCAGGGAAAGAGGAATGTTATTGCAAGTAGTGGTATGGATATATAATATATATATATTTATATATTATAATTTATATATATATGTACCGTCAAATCATATATCATTTTTAATAGGCCTATTAATGTAAAGGTAAGTAGTAATAGTAGTAGTAGCTGTTGTAGTAATAGTAGTAGTACAGTAGTCTCCGCCTAAGATCCCACCGCTTACGATCCCGGTTCGCTTAAGATCCCGCTGATTTAAGAAAACAGAATTTATACTACACAAAAGTCACCTCTAAGATCCCGCTCTGATTCACTCTGAAGGTCTACATTCGGCTAAGATCCCGCATTTCAGGTCATAATTTGCGGAAAAAAAACCGGGCGGCACAGCCGATCAACCAAGAGTGAAAATTTGAGATCAATAAACTGTCCGTCGCATCAAAGATCAGCTGCTATCGTGAATGTGATCACATACACGTTGTAAAACTCGATGAAGCGATACAATGTTTGCCCCAGACGGGATCACATCGGGGTGTGAACTGACCGACACGTTTGTTTTCCTCGAACATCTCACTCACACCTGAGCTATCCCCATATACTTACATCACTCATTGGGTGGGTAGGGCCTACACGTTCGCTCCTGGCGGGATCACATTGAACTGTGAACTCTTCCCTGACCATTGGAGAAGTTGTTTCTACTCCCGAATTTGCAAGACAGACTGAATTTTAATTGGTGTGTTCACAACGTAATGGTGTGTAACGACAAAGGCGGTTGGGGGAGATGGAAAGCTATACATTTTCGACAGGTAAGGGGGAGGGGAGGGGCAACTTGATAAGCGTAGATCTTGAGCCTCATGATAGGATAATAAGTGAAAATGGCACGCCTCATCCCACTATGCCCTGTGATAGGTCATCAAGGTTAACCACTCTTTCCTCGCCATACGTCATAAACCCACCCAGCGGTCACGTCAGTTCATTTTAGAGATTGTTGGAGACCATTTTACCGATTGTAAGCCTTAACATGGGTCACCATAGATTCTTCCCTGGGTTCGTCGGTTAAGATCCCGGTTCGCCTAAGATCCTGCTTTTCCTTGCTCCCGAGCACCGGGATCTTAGGCGGAGACTACTGTAGTAGTAGTAGGAGGAGGAGGAGGAGGAGGAGGAGGCTTGTCGAGTCAAATCCAGAGAAGAAAAAGGGACCTGTGCACAGCACTAAAAGCTTTCGTCGCAACAAAATTAACCTGTTCACTCCATCTCCACTCGATGTATTTTATTTTCTATTTAATTTACCAACCGTTTCCAATAGCTGTTTTATTTTTTTTATTTTTTTTTATTTTAACTGTTTCCTCTAGCTGTAATTCAAAAATAAAGAACAGCTGGTGGAGTTGGTGGGACAATAGAAAATAAAATGGAGTTAAGGGAAACAGTTTAGAAATATTTTTTGTTAAATGCAGTTGGTGAAGACCGTTGGAAAACAGAAAATAAAATACGGTTAGAGGAAACGGTTTTAAAGTATAAAAAAATACAATTAGTGGAAACGGTTGGAAAATAGGGGAAAACAGTTTTAAAATGTAAAATGAAATACGTCTGTTAAGACTGTTGGGAAATAGAATATAAAGTACTATTGGTGCTGACGATTGGAAAATAAAATATAAAATACAGCTATACTGCTATAGGAAAAAGTTTTTTAAAAATAGAAAATGAAAAGCATCTGGAGGAGAGGGTTGTAAAATAGAAGAAAAAACACCTAGTGGAGACGGTCAGAAAATATAAAATAAAATACATCTAGGGAAAATGATTTTAACATAGAAAATACAATACAGCAAGTGGACAAAGTTGGAAAGTCAGAAATAAAATACAGCTAGTGGTGACGGTTAGAAAATATATAAGAAAGTACAACTAATGAACTAATGGAGACGGTTGAAAATTATTTTTTGTAAATACGGCTAATGGAGACGATAAGAAAAAATAAAATAAAATATAGCAAGTGGAGATGGTTGGAAAATATAAAAATAAAATGCAGCTAGTGTTGACGGTTTTAGAATATATATGAAAAAAAATACAGGTAGTGTTGATGGTTTTAGAATATGAAATAAAATACAGGTAGTGTTGATGGTTTTAGAATATGAAATAAAATACAGGTAGTGTTGATGGTTTTAGAATATGAAATAAAATACAGGTAGTGTTGATGGTTTTAGAATATGAAATAAAATACAGGTAGTGTTGATGGTTTTAGAATATGAAATAAAATACAGGTAGCGTTGATGGTTTTAGAATATGAAATAAAATACAGGTAGTGTTGATGGTTTTAGAATATGAAATAAAATACAGGTAGTGTTGATGGTTTTAGAATATGAAATAAAATACAGGTAGCGTTGATGGTTTTAGAATATGAAATAAAATACAGGTAGTGTTGATGGTTTTAGAATATGAAATAAAATACAGGTAGTGTTGATGGTTTTAGAATATGAAAAAAAATACAGGTAGCGGAGACGGTTGAACAATACAAAGTAAAATACACCTAGTGGATGCAGTTTTGAAATAAAAAATAAAATACAGCTAGTGGAGATAGTTCTGGAATATGAAATAAAATACAGGTAGTGGAGACGGTTAGAAAATATTTATTAAAATACAGTTGGTGAAAACGGTTGGAAAATTTAAAATAAAATACAGCTAGTGGTGACGGTTTTAGAATATGAAAAAAAATACAGTTAGTGAAGATGTTTGGAAAATATAAAAGAAAGTACAGCTAAGTGAGACAGTTGAAAAATACTTTTTTTATATACAGCTAATGAAGACGAAAAGAAAGAATAAAATAAAATACAGCGAGTGGACACGGTTGGAAAATATAAAATACAATACAGCTATTGTTGACGGTTTTAGAATATGAAATAAAATACAGGTAGTGAAGACGGTTGGAAAATATTTTTTTTAATACAGCTAGTAGAGAAGGCTGATAAATATAACATTAAGAACAGCTAGTGGAGATGGCTTTGAAATACAAAATAAAATACAGCTAGTGCATGGAGACGGTTTTAAAATACAAAATAAAATACAGCTAGTGGAGACGGTTTTAAAATACAAAATAAAATACAGCTAGTGGAGACGGTTTTAAAATACAAAATAAAATACAGCTAGTAGTGGGCTCCCTAACTCCACCCCCACTGCAAATTTTAGTAGGAACATGCCACTTGGAACATACGTACCTTGAACAAAACT